GAATATTGCCTATTGTCCATGATAAGCTTTGGAAGGAAAGACACCATATGCCATACTGATGTGAAACACTTCCGAAAATCACTAACCACCATCTCCTTTGTAACCTTGTGATTTGAAAACGGCTACCTTTCAAATTTAGACACCAGAACAAATTAATCATAAAGATAGGTTCTTACATGGTTTCTCTCTGGAGTAATAATTTTATACACAGGTATATACAGATGTTTACCCATGAAACACTACCAGACCTAATGCCACACCAGGCCTGCTGCAATGGCATACCAAACACTACTCAGGGAAGTGGATTTTGGTGTACCAGTCTGCTTCAGCCAAGCAGAATAGTCTCCCTAGACAGATGAATTAGACATCTGTGAAAAAAAAAATAGCTTGATATTTAATTGCAGGGTTGGCAGGTGCTTCCATGATATACAGAGAATGGAATAAAATTACAGGGACAGTATCATCAAGTAATAAACAGTATAGACAGTTTTCAGCAGGAATTAGCCAAAGATTTAGAGCTAAAAGCATCATGGGGTACACCGAGTGCTTTCTGTATTAGTATTATCTCTGTGCACACAGAACAGTACTCGTTACAAATACCTGAATGAATCATCTAATGGCTGTGAATGTAGGACACTTGAGCACTAGCTGGGGTCCTGTGCTCATGGAAACACTGCCGAGGATTCAGCTTATCTCTCAGAAGCACAGAGCTTCTCAAACTCTGTATTTCTAGAATACCTCTAGCCAACGAGAAATAAAAGCTGGAAAAAGCCGAAGAGCTGAAATTTCCACTGAAGAGTTTCAGATGAAATGAAAGAATTCTATTTAGCTTAGGATGCTAATTTTTATTTAAAAACTGCATCAGTCTCGGTCTGGACTTCATAACAGGGGCTAGAGCGTGTGCAGGCTTCTGCTCCTGGCAGTGTAGGTCCCAAAGAGGTGCTAGTATGAAGCCAGTGTGGGTGTGATGGAAATGCTGAAGCTGTGTCTGAGCCTCGCAGCTTCATAAATCTCAGTAATCCCTGGAGGAAGAAGGTTGGGGCACTTCCCGGGGAGATGGAAACTCCCCGGAAGGTTTCCCTCTTTCCAGTCTTCTTTCTGTAGGCCGCAGCTCTGTACTATTACTTCATATCCAAATAGCTTTTTTCTTCACATGGGAGGGAGAAAGCAGGTTTTATGCAAACCTCATCCAGCGGTGCCTTTCCCAGGCAACAGGCTGCAAGGTTTTAGGACTGAGATCACCCTAGAGAAACTTCAGAGTTTTCCTTAGAAAGTAAATACTCTTGTTCTTCCTTAATTCCCTGACTTCAAAGCCTAAGCACAAGGAGGCTCACGATCTCCCTGCTTTCTTCCTGCAAATTTTGTCCCCAGTAGAGCTGTGCTGCTGGAACACTCAACTAAAGCTGTTGGGACAACACACCCAGAGAAGGAGCACAATACTCTGCCATCACATAACCACTTCACTAAAATCAGAACAACTAAGACAGGAAATACATTATCTTTCATGCTTCTGATCTCTGAAAATGACATGAAGATCATGTAGCTCTTGTCTGTGTGTTTTACTTCACCAAATTGCCTGGCAATCTCCCCATAAAATTTAATTTGCCAGACACAGTGAACACAAACTACCTAAGCTGTATCAATTCATTTGGCATCCATGGCTGTAGCAGCACCATAATGAGTTTATGTAATATTAATATTCACTACACCAAACAAGCATAAATCACAAATTATCCAAAGGAAACACAAAAACAAAATCAGACAACTGCAGATAGAGAGCTCTGACAGCATTTCAATTCTGTGTGATTCTTGTAGATGACATCCATCTGTACTGAACTATGCACAGCAGATGCACTATTACCTTAAAGGAGCTACTGTGTATTTTGTTTTAAATCAACACGAATCTTCACTGGGAGAATAGTTAATGTACCAAGACCCTGAGTACTTCAGAAAAACAACAGACAAGTATGTACCTTTCTGCCCAGAGAGGAAACAAATGTACTACATCCAGAAAAAAAACGCTCTGCAAAGGAACTCAGGAATGATAAAATGCTATGGGGCTTTCAGCTTGGCCCCAAGCCTCTCAGCAACAAGGTGCTGTGGCCTTCCTGCAATCTAGATGTACTTGCCCATATGGCAGTACGAACAGTACGTTTAGGAGATGCAGAATGGGTAGCAAACAAAGCTGAGACCGAAGCTAATCTGAGACACTGGACAATTGTCAAAATTCTCCTGGTAATCCTGTTTCGGGGAAGGAGTCAGTCTCCAATGATACCAGCAAGTGCTATTATAAATCAGCTGGCTGTTCAATGGCAACTTCTTTGCCCATCTCCTTTTGGCCTGAAAAAGGACCCCTCCATAAAGACACTCCTACAATAAACAATATGAAGATGGAAGGGATGCAAAAATATAGAGCTGGGTGCAAGTTTTCTATCCCCCAGCTGCCTTCTCTGAGGCTACCTGGGTCAGAAAATTTGGCTCAGAATCTGAAAACTTTTGACGAAGGGTAATTTCAGATTTTTTAAGTGTTAGGTTGTTGTATGATGCCAGAGAAAAATTCCCAGCAGTAGGAGTCACCGAAAGAAGGATACAGTCTTGATACTGTCATTAAATTGAATTGCAAAGCAAAGCTCCCACTGACTTTAGTGGTACAAGATCACAGTCTCAAACCAAGATGGGAAATTGTGAGCTGCAGAGAGGAGATGTCACATCAAGAATGCAATGGAGCCTCTCTGTGGCAAAAAAAAAAGGGACGGGGGTCTCTTTCTACAGCACTGCTGACTTCAAGGGGATCACATACGTGCAAGCAGCTGCAACAGTGTGGTTTAAAGCTGGGCAAAGGCTGTGAGAAAGATACTTGAATTTTCATGTAATAATAATAATAATAATAATAATAATAATAGCAGCCCATGTTTGCTTTTTGTGAATATCCCAGGGAGCATATTGGCTGTCCAAACAGCACATTTGAAATAACTCTTTCAGTATATTTACTCTAGGATTTTTGTTGAAATTAATTCCCTCTGCTCTAGTGGACTCTGCTTGGCTGGCACTGAAGACAGAGGGCGAAAGGAACTGTTGAAAAAGCAAGTACATCTTCCTACTAATCCTTTCTCCTTTACATGCTCTAGTGTTTCCAACAAATATGGGAGTTAGATGAATATAGCAAACCTTATGGATCTGACTCTGCTCTCTCAACACTATGCTGGTGTAAATGGTAGCACTTCAGTGTAAAACTAAGCTACAGTGCTTTACACATCAGTGTGACAAGGAGCACCTTTCCAAGGTAACTATTGTTCCTTCTTTTCTCAGTAAACAGAACCTCTCCAGAGACAGCTAGGAGTAAAACTGACTTATTTCAGATCAGCATCAACATTAGAAATTAACTCTTGTTGCCATAAACAGGAAGTTTCTTGCTTATTGCTAAATCATGCATCATTCCCCCTTCACTGCCTTTCAGTGATGCAGGAGAAATGCTACATGAATCCAGCTTAGCCAGTGGGACTACAAGCCGGCCTCTTCCAAAGACCTCTGTAGTCTCCTTGCCATTAAAAACAGTATCAATTTCCTTATGAATTGACTGGATATTATTTAAGATCAGATTTTGTCTTCTTTATTCCAGAAAAGCAATGATTTACTCAGGAGAGGTAAAGGAACTTCATGCAGTATATGGTGAGAGCATGAGTACTGACCTAGTTTCTATGCCCTAGCTCCTTTGCTTACCTCTTGCCTGCCTCACATGGTGCAATCAATTCAGACCAGGGTATGAATTTGGAACTACCTTGGCTAAGGACAAATGTCCAAATGGTTTCTAAAGCAGGAGGAATAAATGCCAATGTTTCAGTCAGACTTCACTTAGTCTTTACAACGTGACTTTCTACTAAAAGGAGCACGGGGAGAAAACAAACAAACAAGGCCCTAATTACTAAATACATCTGATGCTTGTGTGAAAGTCCTCACATTAGTAATGCATTTCACCACGTCTTAGTTTTGTGAGAAGAGGTGGCACCTGAACTGTTAAAAGGACGGAGCCAAGCGCAGGAACAAACAGAAGTCAGAGCTGCAGGCAGGGAGCTCAGAAGTGACAAGGAATTCTGGAAACCTGAACTCAGGTCCCCACCTGCAGCAGGGCTCCTGTGGCACTGAGCCTGAGGAATTTAGGACAGGATCCAAATTCACCAGAGCTCATGCACCAGCTCTAAGACTGCTCTGGAGCTGTCAGTAGTCAGTGGATAGAAAAAGGCACCTCCAGAAAGTAACTTATCCTACTGTAAATGTCCAGGGCAGGCAGCAATAATCACCAGCTGGACGCACCCACTCTTCTCCAATTACATGAAATGAAGTCTAGATTAAGACTTTAGATTATATCCCTATCCGTTTGTTGGTTGGAGTTATGTCAGCTGAATTCCATCCGAACACTCCCTGTGCCTTGGCTCCCCCTGTAAAGTGAACAGCATTTCCTCCCCTGACAGGGATGTTATGAAGATCAACATGCTAAAACCTATGATGTGGTCAGCAAAACCACATGCTTGTGAAGAAGGGCCACGAAATCATCACATAAACAGGAAAAGCGGCTGGGTCTGAAATCTGGCTCCAGACACAAAAGCAGCATTATCTATATATTCCAGCTGCCCTCAGTTACATCAGTGCCAACCCTGTCCAGACAACAGGATTGCAGGGATGGGAGAATCAGAGCTATGCACTTCCTGGCCAGGCTGGTACACAACTGAGAAACAACACTGCTTGACTTCAGAAGCCTCAGCTGTGCTTTCAGGACAGGCAGTTCAAGTCGAGCCTTTGTTCACTCACGGCTGAGCTATTAATTTAGAATTCACTGAGGCACAATGAACAGGGAACCCAATGACAACATTTTTATAGTCACTCTCCTTACAATGGGAGCTTGTAATTCCCAAGGCAACTCTGGCCTGTGTTTGATTAGTGTACTTAAATCTCCACCTGTGCTTTTACAATAACCAGTATTTTCTGTCAGAGCTTGCTCTTACCCTGTTGGAATCAATTCTTGTCCTGGAGGTGTAGATGGGAGGAGGGATGTTGAAGGCTTGAGGGACAAGATACTCTTCAGCATCCATCATATCTTCCAGGTCTTCCTCATCAAGAAGGTTTTGGAAGAACTTGCTGTCATTTGGGCTTGGGAGCTTCATACGATCATCTCCCTAAACAGATTGCATTGAGAGAGGAAAACAGTCAAAAGATGGATTAATTTCCCAAACAGGGAACTTCAGCCTTCTTCATGCCCTGGCAGCCAGGCTGCAGGGACCACACATGCTGCTTTGTTTGTTCTAAAGCACCACATCCACATAATTTGTTTTGATTTTTTTACTGGGAATATGATGACAGAAAGGGAGTAACTGCATAAATCAAGCAAAGTAATTTTTTGGCATTCCTGTGATAGAGCTTTTATCCTTTCTTCTCTCTTTTTCCCATACAAGCTCAGTTTCTGACCTAAGTTCTGTGAAGGCCTGATGTATTTTGTGAAATATCTCAGCTATTTAGGCTCACATGGTGGGGAAAATTAACATGGAAACCGCTCTGTCTGGGTATTTGCTTTATATTTTTAGGGACTTAGGGGCTAAATTTCCCCCTCATCCACATGGAAAGTTCTACAGAATGTAACAGAGCTGAAAGCAATAAAAATCAAACCAGGGAACAACAGCAACAATGATATGTATTTTTATTGAAATAGCATCTACAAGCTGGAGAGGGAAATCAGGGCTGTGCTTTTCTTGGTGACACAAAGCATCACAAAAGGCAGCCCATGCCCCAAACACCTAATAGCCCCTAAAAATGATGCTAAACTTAACTGCATGGCTAAAGAATGGCCTCCTGCTCTGAAAGAATTATTATGCCATGTGTGGAATCCAGTGGGGCATGATAGCTGTGCTGCAGGGTACGTACAGACCAGTTTAAAAGCTCAACAGCAAGAGTGTCATTCTTGATTCTGGGGGGAATGGGGAGTCATAATAGCAGAGACAGCAGTGCAATGGAGTTACCCAGGTTTCTCCTCAAGAAGCAGATGGCCTATATTGTCTACAGGGATCATTGGAGAAGAAGCCTCACAGAATGAAATACCCACCAGACTACACAACAGGACAGGGAAGGGCAGGGGAGAGAAAGGGAGGGAAGAGGTATTTGGAATAGGGAAACATGTCCTATCTAATGAAGTAATTTAAACTGACTGATTTTTCCAGAATCATCTGTATCAGCTGAATTTACAATTTAACACAATGGGGAAAACCGCATGGGAAATTCCACATTCAGCACCACAAATCCTCTTGCCCAGTATTCTCCTTTTCACATATATTTTACTTCTTCTCGAGCTGAAGGAGAGTAGCACACATTCACACACCATGAGTAGGCTAGCATGTCTACACAGTGAAATAAAACACCATACGGTGAGACTAGCGCTAGACCCAGAAGAAATCAGGAGACATAAAGGGGTAGTGACTGTACTTCTGGAGGCTCTTAAGCTAGGAATCACTGTGAAGCTAAGGACCAGCTGGATATACCTCTGCCCTGTACTCCATAATGTGGAGTAGATATGGCATGAGATATAGCACGAGAATATCATTACTTGGATCAAGCTAATTCCATGCTTTGGTCTCTGTCGTTTCAATATCACCTTCTTTTAATCTTTCATTTTCATTTGAACTGCTCACACAGTGGGACCATCTAAGGACCTTACCAAATAGTCAGATTCGTTTCCTGTGGCTTAAGTCTGAGTTGTAATAAACACATACACAACTCCAGGCTTCTGCAGAATGTTGGAGTGAAAGCACAAAAATTTCCACGTAAGCCTGTACTCAGGGCATACACAGCTCGAGCAAGATGCAGTCAACAGATATGGCTATACTGGTATTATCCTGCTGCCACAATGTAGTTTCAGGTGATGAATCATTCTGGTGTGGGTCTACTGCAGGGACTGCCAAGCACTACAGAGCCTACACAGCTTAAGGAGGACACAGAGCGAAGTTCTTCTCCATCATGAGAGGTACCAATGTGGCACAACTCCCTGTCTTCTGAGAAACTTTTACATTTAGGCTATGAAAAGAAACTTTCTTACAATACCAGCACTACATGGAAGAGTCTCTTCAGAATAATCATCTGAGATTCAGCCTAAGCAACTGCAGAACCAAGCAAGTACTTAGTCTAAAGTAGGTCCACTGATGGACAAATCTTGTCCCCAGTTTGATGAGAGAATGCGAAGTACTGAGCAGCTTGCAAAGCCAGACCTTGTATATGTGCTCATCAATACAAGCTTAGTAACTGAACTTCAGATTATTTCATTATTATTATTTTTGAGATACTGACACTGGCCATCCTACTTCATTCTTGCATAGTACTGTGGCCATTGTTTGCTCTAAGTTCAAGAGCACCTTGAACTTAAGAGATTCAAAGGCAGCCCCTTAACAGTCAGGTTTGGCAGACAGAATTTTTTTTTCTTCCCTGATGTTGCAGAGTTGCTTACCTGAATTACTAGGTATCTCTGAGGGTCTCGAGCCATTCTAGAGAATTCAGCAGCCAGCTCCTTGAATTTCGGCCGACTGTCAGCATCAATCATCCAGCCTGGGGACAGATGAAAGATGAGAAAGAAAACAGGTAATTGTCAAGGGAAGAAATCATTCAGTTTTTAAAAATGTACAAGTTTGAAGCCCTTGATTGCTCCGGCCTAAAGAAAAGTTGCAATAAAGAGCCCAGAAGAATGGAAAGCTAGAACTCTATGAAGCATCTAAAATGGAAAACATCTGGTCTTGGCCAGAGAAGACTAGATTGTTCACACTTCACGGATTTCTTCTTAATTTGCTCTGAGCTCCTGTTCCCCATCCACAAAACAGAGACAGCAACAATGCCTTGCAATTTTCTGTATCTATCTTGCCCATTTAGATGTCAGCTCTGACTGTCTTTTACTATGGATGTGTCCAACCTCTAATATAATGAATCTGATCTCGTCTGAGTCTAGTGGGTTTATTACAAAGTTACTACTAAATGCAATTTTACTTTAACCGACCTACTGTTCCACAGTGACTTAGATTAAAAGGAGCTGTTCAGCGGATCTGCAGGACGACTGACCTCGCATCCACCTTTCAGGTAAATCTGCATTCACGGGTCTGCATCATTAACACACACCTCACAAAAGGCATTAGATGCTATTTTAATTTAGTAAGACTGATTCTTTTGTCCTTCATCTCCAAGAGACATTCATTAGGAACAACAATTCTCAATCCTTGCTAATGCTTTCTGCAAAACAAGCAAGTAGTATAGGCAGTCACCACCAGCAACTACTTTATCTCAGTGTCAGCTTTTTCTAATGGAAGATCCTATCAGCAGCTTCCCAAGAACATGTTCTCATTTGCCAGGGAGGCTAAATGAAGAGGGCCTTATCTCCTCCGTGACGCTTAACTGAAGAAGTGACCACACAGGAAAAACAAAGCTACCATAGCTTATAAAGAATTTCACAGGAACATTACAGGACTAAGTCTGTACGTCTAGCTGTAACTTTCCATCTTCCAGATTACACCATCTACTAGCACCTCCTTCTGTCCACTGGGATTCGCCTCATACTCATCCAATCAGATGGAACATTTTTGCACTTAACCAACATGAACCCCCCCTTGCACTATTCAGACAATTTCCATACCTGCACGCACAGTACAACTGTTTTCAGAAGACATGTCATTTACCTCTTCTAGTTTTATTTTCTTTCTTTCAGTGTTTTTGTGTACAAAGCGAAAGAGAAAGGACTATATAAGATGGATGAGATGTGTGCATGTTAATCTCACTCAAATTAAGCCAGAAATACCAGAGAGATGTTCCTAATTCTTTTTAAATTAGAAGCATAGCCTTGGAGGATACTGTCACTAGTGTGGGTATCTTGGAGATAAAAGGGTAGCAAGGAATCATGTGCAGATTGTTTTCCTTTTTTCTTAAAGTAAAAAATATTCATAAATTACCATACTGAACTAAGAATGATAAAGAATTATCCTCTCTACAGTACTTCTTGTATTAATTTAATTTTACTTTTTATTATTACTATTGAAATCATCATTCTTATTACTAACAATAAAACATTCATGCTTTATTTCCTCCATATCTGGAACCAGCATTTCTCCTTACAACCTTCACTGGCTGAGTATCCATGTACCGTAATTATGTTTAATACTATCTTTTTTAACATCAAAATCAATTGTCATGGAAATGACAAGGGTTTACAATAACAATCATACAATTTTGACTTCACAGCAAGAATATGAGATACCATCTGACAGTAATAAGAAGCTGAGCTAACTCAACCCTTCATGGCTAAATTCCTATCTTTTGCAATTGCAAAACATGTGCATAGTGTATTTAAATGGAATTTACAGTATCTTGGGAAGCTTTTGTTTTGAAGCAGCCTGCTCTGTTACCCAGCACTGTCAGAGACTATAGGTGCAAATGTTCTAAAACAGTGTCCCTCCTGCACTAAAAGCGACAATTACTTACACTTCACCATCACCATATAAACATCAATAGTGCAGATCGGAGGTTGGGGCAACCGCTCTCCCTTCTCCAAGAGGTCGGGGATCTCTCGAGTTGGGATTCCATCGTACGGCTTCCCACCGAAGGTCATAAGCTCCCAGATAGTGACTCCTAGACAGAAGAAAAGAGTGTTAATATTTGAGGTCATACTAGTCAGATTTCTTCACAATTTTGTATAGTGCAGTATTCTGGCCCAGTTCCGGACTGCACTCTTTTCTTCATTACTAGTGCCTGTAAAAACAAAGTTTGGTCTGCCATTTAAAAAGCTCCAGAAAATGGTGAAACAGCACTTTGTGTTAATCTTCAAAAGCAACTTCGTTCATTTTTATTGGTGTAAGAAGCAGCATGATAGATCTGAGGAACAAGAGAAAGGTCTAAGACAAATAAATGGTAGTAAAGTAAATGGATGCAATAACAAAAGAATGCATTGTACTCTTTTATCATATCAAAAGGGAAAATGAATAGCTGATGTACTCTATTATTTTAAGGAGGAAAAAAACGCAGATGTTCCCTAACTTAGAGCATCAATTTCCCACAAAGGTACAGCTTGAGTAACATTATGTCTTTGCCTTGTAAGTCATTCACATCCACTTGTATTACTTTTTTCCTTAAATCACCTTATGGATTTGAGTTATGATAGTGCTGTGCTTCAAAACCAAGATTATCTTTTTGAATAACCATAGGATTTGTTTTGGCATCGGTATCACAAGTAACAGAATTAATCCCCTAACAAAATTTTAAATATTGAAAATGCTGCTTTCATACCAGTTTAACTTTTATATTTATTGCAAAGGTCATTTTAAACATGCCTTGAGATCACTAACCATATTTTGCCAGCTGTCATGCTAATGTGAAAGGTGATGAGCAAAATTACCATGTGTATAAAACACATATTTATTTCATCCTCATCACCTCTTTGCTGATGTTCAGTGACTGTAACTTGCCAATTGTTTTTGGTCTTGTCCTTTCTGATGACAGATATTCTGGGCTTCCTGTACTTAACATTAATTTCATAAATGGAGGCGTATTTTTTCCATAAGTGATATGGGACATACAGAATTTGAGGAGAAAGAGAAGCTTTACATGATCAATTTAATTTTCGTATATTTTTCTCAGCTGAATAGAAGAGGGCAGCTAACCAGTCACAGCAAACAGTGTCTTTTGCTGCTACCCACAGGTAAAAGTGAGTAATGAATAGAATTGTACACCTTTTTGTTTCAAAATGATATGGCAACAGGAAATGCAAATAGGAGTCCACAGTCCCAGAAACTGCTGAAAAATTCCACTTACAGAGGTACACATGATTTTATTAGTAATAGCTATTCTAGATAAAAAGGCAGACTGCTCAGCAGATGTGGCGCAGTAGCTTGTCTAGACAACAGAATTAACAAGAGTAAATGAACATCTCATCTCTCAAATGTGACTTTTTTTTGGTGTGTGTGGAGTCCACACGAGCTGACCTAACCAACTCACAAGTCATCTGTGAAATTAAATGGATGCTTGTTTTAGTTAGGATGGAGAGCTCGTCTCTTTCTCCATTTTCTCTTGCTGTATTTGTTCTGTATTATGACAAATTCCCTTTTATCTGACTTTAGGTACAGAAAGCCCCATAAGCCTGAAAATGTTTTTTGACATTCATGGCTTTTAGAGTTGAGATTTTCAAAGGACTGCTGAAACTTATGACCTGCAGCTGTATTTTTATGAATCTGTGGCCAAGCTGAAAGAGGCCTTCTTCTGTCATAATAATCAGCCAAACTGCTACCAGTCTAGACCTTACGGCAGTCATCTTAGGAGGAACATCACGATAATGTATTTTAGTGAGCAAGGAAGTAATGCAGGAGACAAGTAACAATTGCTGTGTAGAGTTACACATCAAAAAAATACCAGAACCAAACAAAACCAACAACAAACAAACAAACAAAAAAAAAAAAAAAACCAAAACAAGAAAAAAGAAAAAAAAAATAAACAGAAAGAGAAAAAGAGAAGGAGAAGGAGGAAAAGAAAAAAGAAGAAAGAAAAAATAAGGAAGAGCAAAACCCACTGAAATTAACTCCTTTAGGAAAAGCGGGTATCTTTAACATAGTAGCACAAATTGGTTTAATGCTTTACAAGAGACAAATTTTTAAACTAATCACATGAAGATTTACCGTAGCTCCAAACATCACTCTGATGGGTAAATTTCCTGTAGTGTATGCACTCCAGAGCCATCCACTTAATTGGCATCTAGGGAAACACAAGAGAAATATAACCTTAGATATATAATATTAAAACAATACAGAGAGATCCTGCATGTAGACATCAGTTTCCTCCCGGTTTTGTTTTTCAACTGCAAGCTTAAAAAAATCAGCCCTATCCAGCAGAGGAAATGGTTGTTCCTGCCCTCTAGAATGGGGCTTTGCCCCATAAAACACATGTAGGTCAGAAATACAAACCAGTTATCTGCAGGACTTCTCATACCATGCAAATTTTACCGATTCAGATGTAGCAGAACAACTCATTTTTTCATCATACCTGTGTAAAGATGGAACCAATGCAAAAATTACAACTAAACCCCCTAAATCTGAAGTGCGGCAGAGAAGGTCGAATACAGAAGCTCTTTTGCCTCAACAGTTTGCAAAACCAGACACCGCTATCTCGATTGCTCTCTAATGAAGCTAGTTAATAAGGCAGTGTCCATAAGACTTCACAGTCCACATCATCATCATCACAGTAAACAGCAATGGGGAGAATTTACAGTGCTTCATTTTGAACTCCTATTATTCGTTAGGAACTTAGCGTTCCTAGTTCCCTGCATCAGTACTGCAGTGAGAAAAGTTGCTCCTGAAAGCAAGTCAAAAGTCCCAAGTTACACTTTGGCTGTGAATCGCCCTTGCCGGGAGCTCATCTCTTCTGACAGAAAAGGCTGTGTAGGCAAACACAAACCTAGGTTTGGCATAAGGGTTCACTCTCTTGAGCCTGTGTTAAAATGAGATTCACAGTGTTTCCTATTCCTGAGCTGGGCCTGTGAGGCACAGTCTTGCAGTCCATTAATTTCTAATGGACAGACATTAAAAACAGATTTTTACCTGGCATGGGCTTGTATGGGTTGCCTCTAAATTGGAACCATGGAAGATGTACTGGAATAAACCAGAGAGATACGTAACTGCATGCAAAATCTGAACAGATGGTGGGTGTAAAAGCAGAGGATGCGTCTTCATTCAAACCATTATGAAAATACCTTCCATGAAGTTGACTAATGAACATGACCTATACAGTTATGGCAAAAATAGAACTCTCTAATAAAGGTTGGCTTAGCACTCATAAAGACAGTTCATCCTCCTCCACTAACTCTGCAGAAGTGTATCGCTCTCATTCCCATTAAATACGATTGGGTCCAAACTTGAACAATTGCTGAAGTAGCAAAGCTGCGTTGCTCATCATGGGATCACTCAGGATGGGAGGGACCTCAGGAGGACTCTAGGCCAACCTCAGGCTCAAAGCAGCTTCAGTTATCAGATAAGACCGTGTTATTCAGGGCTTTATCCAGTCTGGACTTGAAAATCTCCAAGGATGGAAACTACACCACCTTCCTGGGCAACCTGATCAACTGCCTGAACATCCTCATGGGGACAAAGTTTTTCCTTTTATCCAGTATGAATCTGTCTCAGCATGCTCTCAATACAACTTTAAATTGCAAATATGTTCTCGGTTTCACAGGATGCTTCTCTGGAAGTGAGGAATGACACATCTGATGTGTAAATCCTGCTCCAGAACTCCCAGCAGTGTGATTGGCCTCATAAGTCCAAGACACCATCTAACAGCTGCCAGGGAACAGCTGGTTTGCAAGGACCAGATCATTTTCTGTCATTCGCTGGCTGATGGAGGGAAGAGGCAGAGGGGTTACTGAAGAGAGGATTTAGAGAACTGAAGGAATCAGGGAAAACTGCCAAAAGTCCACCTTCCCTGCCAGGAGGTCTCTTTACTGGGGAAATAGGAAAACAACGGTGACTCTTTTCAAGCTCTTCACCTCATGGACTGAAATGCCGATGTAATCCACGCAACAGTTGCCAAGGGCAGCAGCCACACAAGTAAGGCAGGAGCCCATCCAGGAGAAAAGCACACACTGGCAGCAGCTGTTTGTCCCAGACAAGGGCATAAGTGAGCTCAGAAAAACACAGAGAGCAAGTAGACAAAAAGTAAACTGAACATTCAGGAAAAGGAATGACAGGAGAGGCAGAATCCCTTGGGATTTTGTGACAGGTTGAGATGTGGAATTTCAAGATGTTTAGCATCCGGCAGCAGTATGTACCTACAGCCTCTACAGCCTTCTGAATTTTATAATGCATTAATCTGAAGGCACTAGAAATGAGGTGAGGCGCTATAAAGATGTTGTGCAGTATGCTGAAAAGTAATAGGGGAAAATGTCTGGTTTCAAAATTATCCCCAAGCTAGGTTTTTACTGGCTGGGATATTCAGCATGGTATTTGAGACTTGGATGCAAGAAATAGCATATGCAGTCTCTTCCAGTGCGACAGAAGAGGTAGCTCTTTGCTGAGCATATGTAAACACTCCTATGCTACAAATACAAAAATGTGCTGTGCCCTCCCTTTTTGATTTCTGGAAGATCACTTGTCTCAGAAAACAGGATTGAAAGTTATTGAGGTCCATCCTGACCAGAGAAAGGGGCTTGGCAGGAATGCCCTAGAACATCTGTCCCTCAATCAACTGACTTCAGAAGTCTTCAAAACAAGCCACAAAATGGAGCATACGAACAAAACCCAACTCTGAGTGTGAAAACTGTTCAATTATATTTCGGGACCTGGAGAAGCTCACTGAGCAAAAAATGAGCAGTTTTTATGTGTGCTGTCACAACACAGTTCTAGAAGACAGGGCTTTGCTATGTCACTGACAGACTTTCTTACATAATAATAGTCCTGTAGGGATACGCTGCCCTACAGAGTAACATCAAGAGGTTTGTCACAGTGTGATATGTTTACTTCCAGACATGTTCAGTACTCACCTTCCCTCCATCAGCATTATATTCCTTTTCATCCCCTTCCAAAAGCCTGGCCAAGCCGAAATCAGTGATCTTCACGTGGTTTGGTGATTTCACCAAGACATTACGGGCTGCCAAGTCTCGGTGGACAAGTCTCCTCTCTTCCAGGTACATCATTCCCTGAAGGACAAAGAATAGTAAAATAATCTTAATGAGTATCACATGATTTTTTAGAACCACTTTTCACTCATGACATGCAAAATTTCTGGTTCCCTTATTAGTGTTCACAATAAGAAAATGGCCTAGAGGGCAGAAGTTGAACATTGCCCTTACTCTGAATAGGAGGTGGGATTAGATGACCTTAGGTTCCTTCCAGTGTGAACGATTCTGTAGGATTCTATGGTAATTGCCAAAGGCAAAAAAAAAAAAAAAACAACAAAGAAAAGAACTACTACAACCTTTATTTTTCAGACAGGGAATCTGAAGACCATGAAAAATAATCAATTTAGGCAGAGTCCTACAGAAATTAGGCCAGACTGGGAAACAATCTCAGCTCTTCCATGTTCCAGACAAGTGTCTTTGATTCAAGATGAAGCCTCTTACCCATCTCCAAATGCTTTTAAGTTCGACACAAATTTTCACCATCCTAGGTGGATTATAAGGAAAACAATTCTTTAGTCCAAGTGCTGCAACCCACCTGCCTTTCCACTCCCTCAAAATTTTGCATGTAGTATTATAACAAGACACTAGATCATTGGCCTTTTTTTTTTTTTTTTTTTTTTTTTTTATGAGCATATATATTCTGTTAGAAGTACTTTTGTTAACAAGCTCATTCAGCTGCCTTTAAAGATAAGGTAACATATATTCAAGCTACCTGGCCTCAACCTTATTCTTACACTGATGAGAGACTAACCATCTACCATCAGTATGGAAGTTTACATGATGCTTTGTGACACTGAGATGAACACCAAAGCTTGGTCTTATTAATTATATGACACACAAAGGATAGTCAGGCAGGGTTACAAGACTATAATTTCATTAAAAGGCATTTATGACATTAACCATCATTGTAAGAACCTACAGATGAAATTACACACTTGATAATTACCCTTAAGGTATCTCTTAATATATTGGCTCTGTATAATATATATGGTAATTTTAAAAAAGTCATTGCTGAATACTGAAGAGATCATATTATCCCGTAATACAGATGATAATTCAGACAGTCACAGGTAGTGATTAAAATAGCCAGATTACTCAGTGTCACGGGTCAGATTTTATTCGCTTTCACAGCATAAGAAGCTCACACATACGTATTCCCATACATACCAGGAGGACAATGCATGTGGGTGAGCCACCACTCTCAGTCACTGGGCCAGAATGTAGCTCTTTTTTGACAGACAGTGGGTATCTTTACAAAAAGTATCAAGTGGAGCTCTGAACTGCTGTGGCTTTCAGGTGAAGAATTTCAGTGCAAACACCACTAAAAGGTCTGAAAATATGTGGGAGAACATTTGGCACAAACACTATTCTGGTTTTAATGTGGCGGGCTTTGTTGCAGTCAACATTAAGGTGGTTTGAAAGGGGACACGGGGACTCTCTGGCAAAAAGCAAATGGAATTATTTTGTAAAAGCACTGCTAGTTGATGCAAACGCCCCTTTGCCAGTTGCAAATCAATTCTTTTGGCTGTTGAACATCAGAACTGTAAGTCTTTGAAAGCATAATGGTTTTTGACATCAAATTAAAACCTGCAGAAAAAGAACTAATAAATCTCATAGGTCAAATGATTGTGAGTCACACAACAAACACACCATGAAACCAAGGGCGCCGTGATTTAGCACAAGAATTACCATCTGAAGCAATCCAACCAGAAAAATACACCACAGTCAATAGCAATGACACTGTGTAATAAGAGGAAACTTAACCGCAACAGTAGCCCAGTAAAATTCAGACAGATTGGGAATTTGTGTACGTCCTGCTTCACATCTCTGGTTACTGAACAGTAACCAGAAAGGGCTTCGAGGCAGTGTCAATATTGCTTATAAAAAGTATTCTGGGAAGCAGATGAACTACAACCATCTCCCAGGCTCATGTTCCTCCCTTTCACCTGGGGGTTTTGCTGAGATGTCTGCAGGTGGTGTCAACCAGCCTGTCTGGATGTGCCTCAGAAAGCTGCTGAGAGAGCCCAGTGCCCGTGCTGCGGCGGGCTGCAGGGCTCGGCACGCTCTGCGGAGCAGCCTCTGGCCCACAGTCACGCGTCCAGCCTTGCTGCTCTTACAGACAGTGAATCTAATCGTAAGGGTGGCTCCGGGGTGCCCTAAGATATATCACATAGTCATTCCTCACACATCTAAAATTACACTGCTTCTTTGTAGTTCCTGAAAGCACTGCCCCTGAAGCCAGGATCGCAGTCATGTGCAAACAGACAGGCGCCCTGGTGCTTTCCCCAAATACTTCTCTCCTGCAGTCACTTCCTCCACCTTCCATGGGATGAAGCACCTCTCTTCAGTCTTCCATTTTTCACTGCAACAGAGCCCCCTCCCTGAACAAAAAGTCTCAAGGTGCTGCTTACGTTTCCCTTCTACTTAGTTTAGGAAATATCTCAAATTTTTAAAATGAGCAGAAATACTTCTAAAACATCATAGATTTGAGATAGCTTCCAATATACTTACGTGGTCAAAATTCCCCTCAGAATAAGGGGGGAAGAAAAGCAAGGTCCAAACCTGAAAATAGATCTTTCTGGGCAGAATATGATGAGGCCACAGGAACACAAAGAATCTGATGAGAGAATTCTGTTGGCATCAGAATATATTAGGCCCAAATAAAATTGTCATTTCTAATAGATTAATTTGCACCTATCAGCACTGAAATGATATGAAGATATTGCAGATTTCTTTTAGCAGAAATGAATAAATATAATTTCTGTCTCGTTAAAATCAAAACAGACAACCTGTACCAAGGCTTTAGCCTCCTGTCTTTAGCTAATGATGGCAGGAATGGATGGTAAGGTGTCCAGAAACATCCTTCACTGAAAGAGTGAAACAATCAAACCCTTGACCGTGCTTCCTTGATCTTATTTTACCTTCTCTACATATTTAATTTCCAAGCATTTTTTAAACATGTAGGCTAACACTTTAAGATGTTTCACTGTTTATTCTAATTCGTTTTAATTTATTTCAGTCTTGTGCTGTTATTTAATATCATCTTAGTAAGATTATCTTTTACTCAACCTCACGCTCCTATGAACTAGAAAGATGTGTACTCATCAACCTAAATACTGCTCCTAACCACTACTACAGCCGGTTTTCTCTTCTATGCAGAAAGAGGGCAGAAGTAGCTGTCTGTGTATCACTGTACTTACAGTTTACTTCACCTCTGTCAAACAAGCTTCTCCGGGCTTTTTCCCACCTGTGTTATCTGCAAAGCTAAAAACAACCCATGTAGGGTTGACAGCTACAAAATCCTCTGCAGGTCCATGACCTGCAGAAATGTAAATCCTCTTAGGAATACCCACCGTAAACAAGTTTGATTTTCCTGATACTCTATCAACAAGTTTCAAAGGTGAATGGCAGAAGTATAAGAGAAAAGGTACAGATATGTATATATTTTCAATAAATGAGATTATACAGACATAGTGAAAACAATTTAAAAATGGGAATTCTACAGTATTCGCTGCAGCAATACAGTCTAAACATATACTATGCCAAAAATTGTAATCTGAAGGCATTTTTGAATCTGGCAGGAAAAGTGCTCTATGTGCATCTCATCTTTTTACATGGCACAGAAGTACGACAACAAAAAGTTACTCTCTGTGTTACACAGCTGGTGCCACCACCACCCAAACAAGCCCATGATCAGATACCAAGAGGACATTTTATGAGGATTACAAGACAAAACTACAAGTGACCCTAGACCCTGACAAAGGAAAGAGATCTGTTTGTAAAAATGACACTTTCGAGCCTGATCCAAAAGGCACTATATGCTGTGTCACTTGTGCTGTGATCTGCGAAGCTGGGGAAATGAAGCGCCCTTCAGGACTTCTCCAAATCAGAGCTATACAGATCCCCTAAAATTATCAAAGTATAAAACATCCAGATAACAAGAAACCCCATGCTTTAGTATGTATGTTAGAACTTCCGCAATAGGGTGGGACTTTTATGCTGAAACCATGGAGAGGGAAAAGTTCAACATTAAGCCATTATGGATCAGTTGTCCCATTATCTCTGAGCCCAGATTCATCTCACACAAACACAAGAATCAGCCATGACCCACTTGTCACTGCTACTTCCTCATCACAGTCACAATAGAGGTCTCCTCACAGAGAATATCATTCGAAATGCAATTACTGCTAGGATGCCTTAACGTAAAATCACTCTCTGAATCAGCACCTAATGCTATTAAGAAGTCAAACAGCCACTATAACACAGATAAGTTGAGTAAGTCCCTTTGGAACTTCAGCATGAGCAAGGAATACCCTTTTATCTTTCACAACTGTGCCCCTTATCCTTACCCAGTACCAGGGTCACACACGACGACAAAACCAGTGTTGTGTGGATCTTTACTTAGATGTAGAGAGCAGTAAAACTGCCTGTAGCCTAGGTCCCTTCTACTCATGTGATGATGCAGGTGTGAAAATGTAAATTCTCCTTTCAGAAGCAGACACAAATGCCCTTGCCAGGACTTCTATTAGTGTTAAAGATCCTTTATCCTTGCCTACACAGTTACTAACCTGGCCTGCATGAGTGTTTATACATTTCACACAAGGCTTGTAACAGCAGCAGGGAAACTGAGGAGTAGCACAGGCTTGTTAATAAGCCAAGATGGCTTTGTTCAAAGAAGGGAGGTGGACAGGAAGGATGTAAATGGTCACCAGCAGTTTTACTCCAGTAAGAATTTCCTGCCTGTCATTTCTCAGCCTTGATAATTTTCTATGCAATAACTAGGGGGGGGGTGGGGGGGGGGTGGAAATCAGCAGTTTTACTAGCTGGGGTGAATCTTGCTCTCTACCCATCAGAGCTGGCTAGAAATAACAGAACAAAAATGAAATTGTCAAATAGACTAAAAGTCAGTCATTAAGAGCTATAAAAGAAGAAAGTCTTTCCCATTATTTTTTTATGGAGTGTTTGTGAAGTCTCTGGGACTGTGGATAGACAGATTTGGTACAGTCATTTCAGGTACG